GTTTATAATTATTTCATATTTTATTTGATTAGATTGCTTCCAAATTTTACCATTATAAAGATATTACAAATGCATATCTTTGTTCAGACAGCCTTTACACTTAGTCAAGATTTTCTATTGAGTATGTATATGTTAACCTTTACAAACACTTTTCCCAAAATAGCTCTTCATCCTCCCATGAAATGTTATGCCTTGGGAAGAGATAAAATATCTTTTTATTTCAGGTTTGCTAAATTTGTTTTCTATTCACTTATTTTTCCTTTTCTTTGAGTTGCTCATTCATAGTGTTTCCCTGTTTTTCTCACATCCTCTTAACCTTACCCCAAGCCAATGCTTAGTGGATAGTTTTATGAAGGCTTCTACACAGTTATCACTAACAGTTGAATGGAGATCAGAGTGGAGATCAATGGATTGATTCAATTAACCATGGTAGTGATTAGTGGCTGAATGGATTTCTAGAGATGAAATATATGGACAGTCTACTATGGTGCTAATCTACATATATAGAATGAAATGTATAGTTCTGCGGGACAGAAATGTAATCCAAATGGACTTTGTAGTGATTCCTGGCCTCTTACACAATTCCCAGATCTAGGCTATGTCACAGACTCAGTCCTTCAACTGAAGGTTGGGGTGTGCCTTTTGAAGAATAATCTTTTATATAGTTATAGGTGGTCCATGTATCTTCCTAATAAAGCCTTCCTCAGTGAAATCTGAGGCCATTTATGATTATGAGTATTTACTGGTGAAAGAAAAATATTGAGACCTTTTAGAAGTTATTAGTATTGGTTCTGAAATTATGCTTATCTCTGAAACGCCACTGCTTTACCTGTAGGAGCACAAGACTACTGAGGTCAGGGATGATGCGATAACAAATTCATCTTTTGTTTGGTTTTGTTTTTACCCCCCACAGTACCTGAATGTATAGTATAGCTGATATACTTTGTAATAGAATCTCCACGTTCGAATGAGAAGTATTACGTAGAAAAGCTCAGTTGGAAGATCTTGCCGTGCCCTTTCAGACTCATCGAGACTTTAAACTGAAAGCAGTTCTGTATTCCTTCGGGACTGATAGGGATTAGTGTCACCTTAAAAGGCTTGAGAGTTACACGGGTGGTGATTCCAAAACATTCCCATTCACCTCACTAGATTGGACAATGAAAAAGCTAGACAGGCCATAGAAAATAATAGAAACAATAGAAAATTATTAAAAACTGAAACAGGATTTGAAAAACATTTCAAAAATTTTAGATGCTGAATTTCTATCAAAACAGATAAACAAGTACTTGAGTGCAGAAGTAACTTCGAAAAAGAATTCTTTTGTATTCTAACCAGTGAATCTCCAGTTGAATCTGTCAAAGTTTTTTTTAAGATATTTTAAAAGATCTCAATAAATAAATAGATATTAATTCTCCTCAAATTGACTTTGACTTTTATTGATTCAATAAAATTCCTATCAAAATTCTACCTGGTCTTAGTTTGCTTTTTTAGATGTATAGAGCAAATTTTAACAGAATTTCTTCCATTGATTGTAATAGACAAAATTGACAAAAATAACTAAAGCTGCCTGAAAAAGTTAAAATATATGATATTTCTTGCCATACCTATATTGAGATATTTCTAAGGTAAGTAATTAAGATTTATGGCACTAGTACATGGATGACTAACTAAATAAGCAACAGAATAGAAAGCAAAGAAATAGAATATTATATGGGGAAACTTGATCTGTAACAGAAAGCCATTAGAGATCAGTGAGTAAAAGATGGCTTATTCAATACATACAGCAGACACTTATTTGTATGAAAAATCACTTAGATTTCTACTTCATATTACATGCACTCACACAAAATTTTCTTATGTATAAGTTTAAATATAAGGAAAGGACTTTAATATTTTTAAAAGAAATATAGAAAAATTCTTTGTCCTAGTTTAGATAAACATCATTAAATATTAGTAAAGTGAAAACATGCTCAAGTAATTGAATAATTCAAAATATTAAATTTCAGTTTTGTACTCATAAAGAAGGTGAATGTCTACTTCAACTAGAAGATATACTCAATACATACAGTTAACAAAGGCATAATAGATATTATATAATATTCTTACAATCAATATGAAGAAACAATAATGGGCATATGTCATAATTAAGTATTTCTAGAAAGAAAAAAATTAATATCTCCAAATGTATGAAAAAATCCTCAACTCATGTTATCATGAAATGCAGAGAAAAACACAATGAGATATGATATTACACACAGCCCAAAATGGAATACTCTGACAATGACAATAGAACATTTATATATTGTTGTTAGGAGTACAAATATCCCATTTTCAAAATGAAATGAAAAATATAAACATGATTTAGTAAATGTGAACATTTCTATCTAATAGTTCAACAATTCTATTTATAGCTCATAACTAGAGTAACACTAGTATTTGCATATTTGGAGAAATATCTGAAAACCTTAATATTATTTTTGGTAAGACAAAAGAGTTAAATAACACAAATATCTATCACCTGTAGAATGGTAAATACATGTTGGCATATATTTAAGACAGATTATTATATAAAAAGTAAAAAATGAGCAACAGATATATGCATTAACAGGTATAACAGAAGCATTATGTTCAACAAAAATTTTTAGAAGACCATATATAATATTACTTCACTTATATTAATATGCAAGATAAAGAATGTTTTGTTCAGGCATACATACAAATTGCTAATATTGTAAATTAAACGCAGGGGTGGTAAACATAAATTCAGGATATCTGACACAATTGGGTGGGAGAGAGGAGAATATATGTGGGTCAAGCACAAATGTATCAGTAATGTTCATTTTCCCAAGGTACAAAATGGGCATGTATGTGCTAAATTTGCTAAATTACACATATAAAATAATTTAAAAAAAAAGGCTCTCACCTGTTTGCCAGATCCACACAGGTTCCATTATTTTTGCAAGGTTTAGAGGAACACTCATTAATTTCAATTTCACATAGAGGTCCAGAAAATCCCGGTCTACAAATACATCTTTTAACCAAAAACATTAATAATGCCATTAGTATAAAATGTATAAAATCAAAATTTCAACTAATTGTAGCAGGGCAGACTTTTAATAATTATAAATATTGCTTAATTTGTCAACTGAAATTCTTAACATGCATATGTCTAGATACATAAACATCCATCTGCATATGCTTTGGTTTTCTCTACCTGAAATTGTTGACCCCATTTTCACAGTCCCTATAATTCTGGCATGGAAGAGAAAGGCACTCATTCATATCAATTTCACAGTGTTCACCTTCAAATTCTGTAAAGAAAGATGAGATAGGCACGTAAGAGCAATTCTTGTATAGAGTGTAAATATCAGAATAAATGGTAAAGAGTCTAGAGAATATGTTATGGTTAAAACAAGAAAAGAAAGATACCTCATGTCAAGCTTCTTATAAAACTCTATTTCACATAATCTTTGCATACAAACATGCCAGTTTCTAGATTAATGAATTCAAATGAAAGAATCAAGAGAGGAATACTCTACTAAATCCCTTGAGAAAGTAGAGTTGCTGCTAATATCGCTGTTGTTTTAAGGTATTTAAATGTTTGAACAAAAAGAATTGAAATGATCTGCAAGGCAAATGAATTAATGTGATGACCAATCTTAAAGTAAAATTGAGCTTCAATGATCAAATTTATTCAAGGCAGTTAGCAGATGAGGCAAATTATTTAATTGCTTTTCATATCTAGTGATTCAAAGAAAACAAATTATTGTGATTCATAGCTACATAATCAGTCATCCATTTAAACACATGCCAGTTATATTACAAAAAACAATGAATGTGAAAGAAAATTATACAGACTGGCAAAAAGAAGAAGTTGTAATTATTTCAATGCATTTGCATCATAAAAATTCACAATATCACTCTTAAAATACAATTAAATCAATTAAATAATTTAATAATCATGATAACTGGTTAAAACAATTGCATGGATATATATTAAGTATAACAAAATATTAATATATACTTATAGTCATTTTTTCCTGTTAATATTTTTCCTATACTAGTTCAAAAATACACAAAACAACATTTTCCTTTCCCTTTTTCAGTGATATAACTGAAAAGCACTAAAATAATTGCAGTAACATTATGGATGTCAATATGCAGTCACATTTATTTAGTTTGAGGAACAGAGGGTCATTCAAGTTACTTTAAGAAAACAGGTACATGGCTTGGCATGGTGGTTCACCCTTATAATCCCAGCACTTTCAGAGGCTGAGGTGGGACATCTCTTGAGGCCAGGAGTTCAAGACAAGCCTGGGCAACATAGAGAGACCCTGTCTCTACAAAAAATTAAAAAAAAACAGCCAGTTATGGTGGCATGTGTCTGTAATCGCAGCTTTTTGGGAGGCTGAGGCAGGAGAATTGTTTGAGCCTGGGAGTTCGAGGTTGCAGTAACCTGTGATTGTGGTACTGCACTCTATCCTGGGTGGTAGAATGAGACCCTGTCTCTAAAAAAAAAAAAAAAAGAAAGAAAGGAAGAAAAGAAAAGAAAAAATATGTGTTCATTGTTTACATAAACATAGACTGGAATTAATTGGACCAGAGAAGCATTGGTTGTCCAATGGAAATGGACAACCTAGGAATGGTTGTCTTCCTCTCATAGTATGTTCTGTCTTCTCATATAGTTCCTTCTCCCCTTTCTATCGCAAATATATTTTTATATTTGAAGTTTCAAATAATTTGTAATGTTGGCATGCAAATGAGATGGCACAGCTTCCTTGGTCTCGATGCCTATATTATGACATTTCACAGTCCCTATAATATTATTTCACTTATATTAATATGCAAGATAAAGGATGTTTTGTTCAGGCATACATACAAATTGCTAATATTGTAAATTAAAGGCAGAGGTGGTAAACATAAATTCAGGATATCTGACACAATTGGGTGGGAGAGAGGAGAATATATGTGGGTCAAGCACAAATGTATCAGTAATGTTCATTTTCCAAAGGTACAAAATGGGCAGGTATGTGCTAAATTTGCTTCAGCACCTACTGCTCAATGGAAAACTGCCATAGTATTTCCTCACTCAGATTCCCATGACAGAATATGAAATTGACCTAATTTATCTTTTCACACCATACCATGCCACAAGTCATTGACATTTTTTGTGTTGTCTACCATCAGATCAAACTCCAAACCTGCCTTCCATTGGAATTTAAGAGGGAAGTTGGTAGTTTGGTACTACATCATATAAAATCTGGCTACCTCTTTAGCAGGATACAATATGGAAAACTAGAAATTACTCAATCCAGAAGAAAACAAACAAACAAAATGAACAAAGTACAGATACAACAAACAGAAAACAAACAGAAAGATGGTTTATTTAAAGACACAGATATCAATATACACATATGATTTTTAAAAAATTAAAAGGTAGATATAGACTAAATAAAATATCAGAATTAACTGTATGATACCTAAAAGAAATTCATTTAAAATACAATGACAAAGATAGGTTAAATTTAAAAGATGAAATGAAGGTATGCTATGAAATACTAATTATAAGAAGGCTAGAGTTCTTCTTATGTGACTATCAGTCAAAGTAGTCTTCAGGAAAAGCAATACTTTTAATGTCTTATTTTATCTTACTCAAATTCTCAGAGGCTTCAAGTGAATCTCTGAAGTTACATGCTTATAATTTATTCATGTGCTATACGTTGTATCCTCAGCATTAAAAGCAAAGTTTAAAATGAGTTATTTCCAAGTTAATATGGTTCTCCTTATTTTAGATGAGCAAGCTGTTATTACTCCAACCCACTCCATCATCCTTCAATCACCATAGCTGTTTTTGTATTTAAGGTATAAAGTTCATAGTATGGTTATAAATAGCTTCTATTTTCAAAAGATTTTCAATTCTTTAAATATTTGAATGCAGTTAAATTTTTTACAAGTTAAAGATTTAGGAAGTCAGATACATTTCACCATTCCTACTTTGAGCATGATTCATTTTCTCTAGGAGGCAGGGTAGTTTGACATTAAAGTGTTTCTTAGGAATGTTCTTTTGAGGCACTGGAACTGAGGGGCACTGGCTAGCTAAAGACAAGTGGCAGTGAGCTGCCACAATTTCAGCTGAGCTGATGAATCAGAAGAATACTCAGGACCTGGTAACTCTGACAGCTCACAGGATAATCTTGTTTTTCTTGATTTTGCCTTATTCATTAAGTTTGACATTTCTGAGATGGAGCTTTGTTACCAACTAGCAACATATGTCAATGGGCTGAGGAAATGAGATTGCTGAAATGCAGTAGACATTGGGAGAAAAGATAAAGTAGACGTGGACTGCTTTCAAAATAAGCTAAAGCTTTGCTAAAAAAGCTTATGTTTTAGGAATTTAAAAAAGTGAAGTGTGTATACAGTCGTGCCACATACAATGTCTTGGTCAATGACAGACCACATATGTGACAGTGGTCCTATAAGATTATAATGGAGCTATATAAAGGAGTAGGCTATACCATTTAGGTTTATGTAAGTACAGTCTATGATGTTCATAGGATAACAAAATATCCTAATGGTATTTCTTAGAATGTATCCATATGTTAAAGCAAACATGACTGTATACTTAGTCTCAAACTATGCGTTCTGTAGTCCTAGGTGGTTGGCTATACCAGCTAAAAGATTATCCAATAGAAAGTTCAGTGAATTAAGTTGATGCTATCCCTCTGCTATTTATTGCTATCCAGAACTGTTTAGCTGAATCTACTTTGTTAACTGCAGTAAGCCCTTTACATGCAAAAACACTGAATCATTCTTAAGTGGATGCTTTCTTGATCATTTTCTTATATTGTCTTGTCTGCGTATTCCTATAGCAAATACACATGGTTAGTAAACGATATTATTTTATATTTCCCTACTCCTACAAAGCATATAATAAAATGAGTTAATAAGCTTACCCCTCAAATCTAGGATCTAAATCAATCTACATCACAGGTATCATTTTTAAAATCACTTAATATTTTCTCATTTCTAACAAATTTGGCCGTATTGCACTTGATTGTCTAGAAGGTATGATATGGAGCAGAGTACATTAATAATAGCGAGATTTTTAGGTAGTGTTTTATCAATCAGGACTATACTTTAACAATCTCCACTTTGGAAGTGGTATCAGTTGGAGTCATTGGAAGTGAAAGTAAGCAGGAAAAAACCTAGTGTATACCATGACATGTATGCAAACAAGGTAGTTAAAAATCATATATTTTAAATTAAAAACTAAAAATATTAAAAATGAATTATTTTCAAAAGCATTTAAAGGTATTCTTATTTCTTCTTAATCTCTCTATATCGTAAACTTTATGAAAACAAAAAAACCCTCAGAATTCTACTAGCAAACCAGAATTTTTTAATTATCATTTTATTTTAAAACATTTTTATACACATATTAATATTTTCTAAAAGAATTAACCAATGTTAGGAACAGCTAGGGATTTAACTTTAAAAACTATAAAATATGAATACATAGGACTAATATTTCTATCAATAATAGGCCTCAATAAGGTTTTTAACATCGATTTTAAAGTGAAGTTTTAAAAAATAGAAGAGCTAATATTTTAAATTTAACATGTTTTAAGTTTAATTGTACATATTTTTTGGAGAATTTTCTAAATTTAAATTTCCACAGCCATTTAAAGTTAATAGAAATGTGCTACTACATGGGCACATGTTTTTAATTGTCACCAGGAGTAATTTCTAATTTAGACAGTTTTGTCAAATGACACATTTATTTGGTACAATTATACACCTTAGATAATGTGCCATTACCATAATGATAGTATATATACAAGAGTAATAGACACATTTATATGCAACTACTTGTCTCTTCTGATACTACAAATCCATCAAGCTTAGGATCCCAATTATAAATCAATAGCAGTTGTAAATGGCCTGATTCTGTTTTCACTATAACAACTTACACAACATCTTTGTCACATTTTAATTGTCATTGAAAGAAGCTTTTATTCCTTTCACCTGGGAATAAGAAACTAGATTTGGAAAGTAAGCTCTTTACACTAAATTAAAACTATTCAATAGGGTGACTTCTTCCTTGCCTATAAACTGAGACACAATTCAAAGTAGAAAAATAAAGACTCATTCATAAAAAGAACAGTAGAAAACAAATATATGCCAAGAATGAAATGATTGTAGATCTCCAACTATACGCACACATGCTAATATAGTAATTTTACTATATGCTAAACACACATACTCACATGCATTTTTATCTAAAGTCACTTTTATCTTCCTAACCCTCATGTGGATTTTATATTCTCTCTCTTTTTTTTTTTTTACCAGCATCAACTTGAATCCAGTTCACTGAACCTCTTCCACTTAATTAGCTCTTTCTCTTCACTACATGTGTCAACCATTATTCATTTTGCTCATATGCAATATAAACAAAAACACTAAGGCAAGGAATGGGATTTATTGATAGCCTAGTTGGGAGAGATACCAGGCAGTTTGCAGAATTGTAGAAAGAACTATAGGAACTGCCAGATCTGGATCTCATTCTTCTTCCCCAAATGCTTCTCTCCTACTGTATACAGATAATTTCCATGTGAAAAGAGCATGGTGGTTGGCTTCACCAGCTGAAAAACTCTGGCAGAAAGAGAAAGCCTTTTCTTGGAGCATCAATTCCAAAGGAATCTGAATGCCAACCAATATTCTAGTCACATGCCCAGACTTGGATCAATGATCATTGCCAGAGGGATGGGATTTACTGTGTGTGTTAGCTTAGTTTCTTCCAAAAGAAGAATCTGAGATAATGATTTGTTCACAAATAGTTTACTAATAGTTGAGAGGCAATCCCAGGAATTACTGCAAGGGACTGGGAAATATAACACGGTTGAGAGTGGTGTAAAGAGCAATTTATTGCTGTGGACAACTGAATCCCCACATGTCTGAGATCCTCTTAGAAATCATGTAGATCATAAGTAGGAGTTGTCACACTAAGCAAGAAAGTTCTATACATATTCACAAGTCTTCATTCTTTGTGCATATCTCTGCCATACATGGGAAAATTTCTACTGCATTGTACTTTAACGGTTAGTTAATTTTTGTTTCTCCTTTAAATTTTCAGTTCTGTGATGGCATATATTCACCAAGTTTAATTTCTCCAGAACCTATCTCAAGACTTGACACATCATAGGAAATCAATGTATGTTTGTTGAATCAGTTAATAAAGAATAAAATTATTAGATTTCTAGAACACTATCAACATACAGCAGCAAGACTGATCCGTGTTGTGTATAGTGCACTATTTAGACAGGCAAAATAATATACTTACTATTAAATAAATTTTTAAGTGTATAAATTGTTCACTAAATATCTAAAGCTAATACTCTTGAGGTGTCATTTTTGACCCCATTTGTTTCTAGGAATCTTATGAAATTTGCTTTTATATATGCTTTTTAAAAATTTATTAACTGAATTTTCTAGTCATAGAAATGCCTCCAAACAAGTAAGATTGTATAAAAACAAACCTGCATTTATTTTTTTTTATTTCAGAATATTATGGGGGTACAGATGTTTTGGTTACATAAATTGCTTTGTACAATTTGAGTCAAAGTCATAAGTGTGCCCATCACCCAGATAGTGTGCACTGTACACTGTGATTTTACCCATTCCTTCTTCCCCTTCCCACCTAGTTGATTTCTGTTGAGTTTTACTTCCGTATGTGCTCATGAGTGCTGATTGGTTAGTTCTAATTTAATAGTGAGTACATGTGGTATTTGTTTTTCCATTCTTGTGATACTTCACTTAGGAGAATATAAGAATTCTAGAAGAAAATGTTGGAAAATCTCTTCTAGGTATTGGCCTATACAAAGAATTTATGAAGAAGACACCAATGGCGATCACAGCAATAAGAAAAATTAATAAATGGAACGTGATTAAATTAAAAAAAACTTCTGCACAGCCAAGGAAATAATTAACAGAGCAAATAGGAAATCTACAGAATGGGAGAAAATATTTGTAAGCTATACATCCAATAAAGGGCTAATAATCATAATCTACAAAGAACTCAAGCAACTCAGCGAGGAAAAAAATCAAACAACCCCATTAAAAAGTGGACAAAACATGTGAATAGAAGCTTTTCAAAAGAAGATATACTAATTGCCAACAAACTTGCATTTAATTATTATCACCACATGGTACTTTTCCTATCTATTGTTTAGTAGAAAATACTCACAATATTTACAGACACTAAATTTCCTCACCTCAGTTCTAATCAGAAGACAGAAGATTGTCCTTGCTTTCTCTTGCAAAATATGATCACAGTAGTTCTGTAGAGCCACTATACCTATAGTTTTTAAGTAGCTCACATTGCACCAAAAAGGATTAGATTACTACAAGTTTCAATCATACTGACCATAACAGCTTACCTACTGAGCAATAAATTTGACACATATCCAAAAGTCTCAGTTATTCTATTTGCTGGACCTTCAAGGTAATTGTGAATGCCATTTATAATTTGGTTGTCTAGCAGGCAGTCACTTTATTTCTCTAGCTCTGGAATTTTATCTATATTCATATTTATGTTGTGAGAGACCCTGGAGATTGACTAAAAACTGTGAACAGAAATTCAGAAATACATATACTAAACCCTCAGACCTTAAACCTTAAATTTATTTTCTTGTGATCAGTCATATTCTAATCAATTGACAAACATCAGCAACTTGAAGAGAGATCTAGTGGAGTTTCTAGATGCTTTATCTGTAGAACATGTTAAGTCTTAGAATTTCTTGCAGTTTTTAACTGTTGGTACTAGTTAAAATGAAACTTGATCAAATATTTTCTTTTAAAAAAGGCTATAGTGGCTTTGACATAGACCCTATTTTAAATAACAGCTATTCAACTGACTCAGGGCAAAGCTTCTAAAATATTCCATGGTGAACCTCTTTTTAATTGTCTGAGGTAGCTTTCTGGAGCAATGTTATAGACTGTAGATTTTCCTCTGCTACAGAGGTTGAAGTACTAAAGGTAATATTAAGTAAACACTTTTACAGTATTCAGACCTGATTTACAAAAACTTACTTCCACAAGTAGAAATATGTGTGTCTGTGTGTGTGTGTGTGTATGTGTGTGTAGCTTTGAATAAGATAGCTAATTAACTAATACCGTCTAAGCTGGCCCTTTTGAACAAAAGAGTAAGTAAATGTTGCCCTTCTCTTTAAGGGACTCCTTTAAAGTCTAGTGACTAGGAAGAAGATATGAACCTATAAGTGAATATTAGAAAATAAATGACAGTTGTAGTCCTCTAAACACTATGTAGTTTTTATATTGTGCTTATAGCACATTTCAGTTATACTGAAAACCTGTCATACCCTACTTTTATGGCAGAAGCATTTCCATTGATAATGGTAATTGCTTTTGAGTAGCCAGACATAATAAGCAGTGAATATGTACCAAAACTACCTATGCATTAGTCAGACCTGTTTCAGTTACATCGGAAGAGGCCCCAATCAAAAATTTAATGATATTAAATTTATTATTTTTATATATACATTTATTAAATAAATTTATATAAATTTTATAAATATAAATTTATATAAATTTATTGAATTTATATAAAGTTATTGGCTGATTTGACCCAGAAAGCCAGAAGTAGCCTGGCTTCCTGAATGGCTGGACTCAAAGGCTCCAATAATATTCTTTGATCTGCACATTCTCTCTAGCATATGATCCCTCTTATGGGACAAAGCAGCTACCAGAGTTACATGATAGGAGCTGAACAATCTAAGCAGAAAGAAGTAATATTCCTTGATAGTTCCAGAAGAAAAGTTACAGTGAAACATTTAATTATCCTAGATTGTACCTATGCCCATTTCTAAATAACTGCTATTGTCAAGAACACTACATGAACAAGATTCTTCAGGAAAGAGAAACTGTTATCAGAGAAAGAAACAATTTCTGAATGGAAAAAAGAAGTGTCAAAAGCTGCACAGCTTCACCACTCGCCCTCCCTCCAACACTATGTAGGTTAATTCTTTAGGTATATTTCTCCAATGTGTTTTTTATACCTGGATTTGCAGTCAGATACTCCCACATCCCCGAATTTATATGGGGTTTTTCTCATCTATTCTTATGGGGCCATCAGCCCATATTACAGTAAACAAATAAATTAACAAACTAATTAATTAAAAGATATTAAAACACATATAAGCTCTTACCTTTTCTACAAATACAATAACGATTTCCATCTACCAAAGTCAAGCATGTTGCATTGTTTCTGCAAGGGTTATTGAGCAGATCACAGGGGTTATAGCGTTGATGGCAAAATTGTCCAGTATAAAAGGGTGGGCACAGACAGACAAATTGCCCAGGAATGGTAGATTCATGACAAAGAGCTCCATTCATGCATGGATCAGAGTCACATTCATTTATTTCTTCACTACAGTTTTGTCCAGTCCATCCAGATGTACATTCGCAGCTGAAATACAATTTTAAGAAATGTATTTTTTTCAAGTTTATTCTTTGCAATTTCAATGCAACTGTTCCATTAAACTAATAGTATATGGTATTTTTAAATGCATAACAGGATTAATATATCATATATAGTTTTTAAATATTCTTTGCCTAATTTCCTGGGACAATTTAATTTATGTTACTATAAAACTGACTGCATTGCTGAAATAAGATTTAAGAAGCACTTGGAAAATTTCTAACATAGTTTAGGCCTCTGAGACATATCAGAGAACAATTATTGAGCTGAATTACCAATTGAGCAAAATTTCCCTATTAATTATTTAATGTAAAATAATGTTTTACAAAGGAGATTACTGTTTATAAGTCTGAAATGATATTTAATTCAATGTTCTTTGCAATATGTAATTATTGTAATTCACCAGAGGATTTAACAAACTACCCCTTTATGTTAAGTATCTCTTTTTGGTTTTAGTTTTTGCCTGTTCATTGAATTATGTTAAAAAAATATTTTAAAACATTTTTCCTATTAATATGAGAAAACTGAAGAGAATGCAAACAAAAATTAAAGATTTTAGATCTTGTCTGGATATCACAGACTCTAGCTCAGTCTAACCCTCCATCTGGTAGCTGTGTCATTTCTATAAATATCACTTTAGATAATCATCTTCCATCAGACTAGGCTAGTCCGGCTCCTAAGAGTAGCAGAATTCTGACAGGGGGAAGGGGAAAGTACTGTTCATGTAAGGGAATGGACAGGTTATAATGATATCTGCAGACAGAGAGTAAACACAAGGATAGTTCACCAACTGGTTAAGTGGAAGTCAATCCCACTCTTGGTTGGTTTCAGGGGGTTCTTTTTTTTCATTTTTTGGTTAGGTTGGACTTCCAATTTTTTTTTACTTTTCTTTTTGGGCAGTTATTGATTCCCAAACCAGGGCTTGGGGGCCTTTGGTTGATTTTTTTTCAGAAAAAAAATGTTCTTTACTGATAGATTTTTAAGATACTTTGAAAAGAATGCCACAAATTTTTAAGATAACTTGAAAAGAATACCATTTCACTTGCTTTATGACAGGTAATGTCTTGCTAAAAGGAGGAAGAGAAGGAAGAAAGGAAGAAAAAAAAGAAGGAAGAAAAAAAAAGAAGGAAGAAAAGAAGGAAGGAAGGAGAGAGAGAGGGAATCACCCCATTTCCAGGTTTCAAGCCTCAGAAAAATCAAGGATCTTCTGTATTTATAAATATAGACGATATCATTTATTAGAGGATATAGGTGAATAAATAACTTATACCAACATCTGAAATTGAACTCTACATATAACTTTACCCAGCTCTAAATTTTTCTTTTCATACCCATTAGGAACTCATCACATACACTACCTTATATTATAACCATTTGCATGGCTTGCCTCCACTATTTGTGCTTCTGGTTCTTGATGTGTAAGATTATCTGAATCTCCATATTATCATGCACATAATAAAGGTTGATATAATAAAGGTTGATACCTACAACAAAGGTTATAGGTATTGATTGATATAAGTACTCAAGGTGGGAGTCAGATAGACCTACCTGAATTCTTTCATTTGAGAAATTGAGGATCAGAGAGCTTAAAGAAACTGGCAATCTCAGAGAATTCTCACAAAGACTAAATGAGATGATGAATTAAAAAAGTGTATGTAAAGTAACCACCTACAGTGGTTACTGGGTGCTGTCATGGAATTTAAAAAAAAATAACTGTTGCCTTATCAGCCTAAATATATTATGCATCATAACAAAGAATATTTATTTAATTTTTAATAACAATACCATATTTTAAAACTGTCAAATATATTATCCAATTTGATACTTTCCATAAAGCTATGAAATATGTAGAAGAGGTATTTTCTTATTCTCATTTTACAGATGAGACAGCTGGATTTGCAAAGGATAAAAATGATTAATGCAAAGTTGCACGGTTAGCAAATGGGACCTGGAATCCAGAACTCTTCCCCACAGGTTCCCATTTTGTTTTTTTTTGTTGATGATGAATGTTCACATTCATTATCATATCATTTAACATTATATAATAATGTTGAAATTAGATATTACTCAGTCCTAGGAAATAACTTCAGTACATTTGTTTTACTTATAGTAGCTTCACTGTAAATAAAACCATTCAGTCATTATCATGGTAATCAATATATTATACCAATATAAAGGAAGAAAAGCTAGAGAATTAATACTTTCTTAAATCATAGAAAGTCACTTACACAATAGTAGTCATTACCACATCATGACCACAGGTCCTAAGGGGGTTGTATACATTTTTATGCTTTTCTCTTTATTATATTCTTTTATGAGTACATAATTTCAACTTGGCTAATTTAAAAGCATTTCCTGTGAATAACCGGCAATGGTTGAATATATAGCATGTGTGCTAACGGTTTGTTTTATCTTCTCACATAACAGGTGGCCTAAGACTTCATGTGGTGTCGTTACAGGGATCAAATCCTCCAGAAAGCATCTGGCCTTATGTCAACCGGACTGATACTGCCAAGGCTGAGATGGAGACGGATGAATATTTTGTAGAAAATAAAGTTCTGAGAAAGAAACTCATTACTAGTAACTAACAATCACACCTATAGGTTTATATATTTGAATCTGCTTTTGTACATGTCAAAGAAATCTGTCTTTGATGAACAGAAAAACATATTCTATTTGAGAGCTTCAATCTGATTTTAAGATTATACCATGGAATAATTTCAGGATTCAGTGTGATCTGGCAGAATTTTTCAAACTCACAGCTAGAATCACAATCTTTATGGATTAAATAAACCAACCAAGCAAAACACATACTGTATGACTTTTCAAGTGTACAATTTCCAGTAGTAAACACTTAAAAACAAATTAAGTGTGCCTAAAGGTAAACTAATATATTCTAATTTGCTCTCTTTCCTAGTGAAGAAACCTAAATTCATTGGTGTAAAATATATCGAACTCCTTCTAAGAACATTTCAAATCTTAAATGTTGATTTAAAGTACTAAAGCTGATGAGAGAAAATAAAGTTTATGTCATTGTGTTTTAAAATGGGAAAAAAAAGAGTACTTATCAAATAAATTCATGTGATGTTGTATACCATAAATATACACAATTTTTATTTGTTAATTAAAAAATTAGTTCACTTATTGTTTCTTATAACCATTATGTATATAAAAATAAAATTTCAACCAAAACTGGTAGGTGAAGAAGAAATAATAATAATAATAATAAAATAGTATTATTATTATTATTATCTAGCATAGAAAAAGGAAGAAATAAAAAAATATAAGCTACCCAATTAAGTAATTCATTCCTTATTTTGTTTTGTCCATTCACCAATTTGTTCCTTTAGTTATAACATCAGCTGTACCATCAATAAAACTATATTAATAATGAATTATGATGATCATTACTATACTCTTAACCCCTGTAATCCTCTTGGAAAGAAATGTAGGAAATTGCTTATCTCATTTAGACTCAAATATTTATTTTTAAAATGTTATTTTATTAGGAAAAATTAAAAATATAATAGAAAGTAGAATTAAGGACCACTCTGAAGAACAGCATGAAAATGTTAATACGTAAAAATATGTGAAAAGATTGATATTGGCGAAATGAAAAGTTGGAGGTAGCCTAAAAAGCAACAGTGGGGCAAGGTTGTTAAGGATCTTGTAAACAATAGCAACAACAAGAACAGTGAAATTAAGAAATTTTGAATTCTATCCTTGAAGATATTAAAGGTTTTGTTCCTGTTGATTTTAAGCATAGACGTGACGTATTAAGATTTTTGTAGAGTAGAGGATGGGTTAAAATAGGGAGAGTTTGGTAGCATGAAGATCATTCAGGAAGGAAGCTGTTGTTTTATTGATGATAAGAGAGTATGAGAACCTAAAGAAAGGCAGTAATAAAGTATATCAGATTTGATATACATTTCTGATGTAGGCTTAAGAAGATTTGGACAATGGTTAGTGCAACCCAATGAAGCAGAATGAGGAATGAGGAAGAATCAGTGGGCTTTAGCTTTATTATTGCAAAGACAATGGTACCGTCAGGTAAAACAGAGAATGACAATGATGATAATGGAAGAGAAGATGGTGCTTGATATATTATAACTTAAATCAAATTAACTGCATAGTTTCAGATGCTGCCATATATCTAATAAGAAATTCAAATATGGAGCTTTGTGGAAAAAATCAAGGCATGCAATAAAAATTCAAAGAAAATTCTAACAAGCATTACCAGGAATAATTTTGCATGAAATACATTTAAAATTAGCCTTCTCTACTGAAATATAAAGTTAGTTTATGAAACCCATAGAATAGCTCTTCTTCATTGTGATATTTTTAAGTATTTTAGAGAATCTTAGAATCTTTGATTAAAAAAAATAACAAGAAAAGAATTCTGCTAGGCAGATTATCACAAACACTTGGTCTAACAGAAAGCAAAACTTTTTTTTTTCTTTTGAGGGTGAAGAGAAGATTATTGAGTATATATCTTCTAAATGAAGTCAATAATTTCTATTTCAATGTTAACAGGAAACAAATCTTCTCTATTCAGGCTATCAAGCCTCATTATATTTACATATATATATTTAAATATATACTGATAATTTTGGATACATCGTAATCTATCTCTTTAAAAACAGAAATCTATAAATAATTTCTTTCTACTGAAATAATTAATTTGTGTTTCTAAGCAATGTGGATTTTGATGTAAATGAACTGTTTGGATAATTCTTTGATATAATTCTCTTTAAATTATCTATGTTTCAATATTCTCTATGATTTCCTCTCCTATGCCACATGAGAAGACAACTGATCAATAATCTTTTTCACAGCTGTTGAATTCAGACTGCTCTGTAGGTCAGCTTCTCTGAAAAACAATTCCAGGCTTTTTTTAAGATTCAGAATATTCCTCATTTCATAGCAGGAAGCTGAAGTGCCAGCCAAGCAGAGGTAGAAAATACATCAAGTCAAGCCTCTACTACATT